TCTACTTATGCAACAACAACACAAAACAAAATAATCAATACTAAAATCCAAGTCTTTTATGACAGTTCAAAATGGCTCTTTCCAAAAGTGTTCAACTGTTCAAAAGTTAGTTCGTTTCCTTTCCTTCTAGATCTAGGCATCCCTGGGCTCATTGTTCTTTCTCTTCTCTTGTCGTTCCGCACTTCCGTCAGCTCGACCAGCTGCAACACCGTCAATGCTACCTCCCGTCGTCCCCAAGCTCCGTCAGCTCGACCAGCTGTGACGCAGTCAGTCTTACTGCCCGTTGCCCCCAAGCTCCTTCAGCTCGACCAGCTGTGACGCGGCAGTCTCACTGCACGTCGCCCCCAAGCTTTATCAGCTCGACCAGCTGTGACGCCGTCCGACCTACTGCCCTTCGTCGTCCCCCAGCTCCGTCAGCTCTACCAGCTTGTGACGCCGTCAGGCCTTCTGCCCGTCGTCCCCCAGCTCCGTCAGCTCTACCAGCTTGTGACACCGTCAGACCTACTGCCCGTCGTCCCCCAGCTCAACCAGCTGTGACGCCGTCAGTCTTACTGCCTGTCGTCCCCCAGCTCCGTCAGCTCTACCAGCTTGTGACGCCGTCAGACTTACTGCCCATAGTCCCCCAGCTCCGTCAGTACAGTGCTACTACCGTCGTCCCCCAGCTCCGTCAGCTCGACCACTCCACACCATCAGCTATCCCACTTCTGACACCATGTGTGGCGGACACGATTCTGCCACCTTGGCTTGACACGGAATATTTGTCAGGATGCCCCGTGTCGGCCAGGCGCTCTCCGTCCGTTTGGACAAAATATATGCCCGTAGCTTAATGGCTGGAGTTATTAACTGCTCACACGTATCTCAACAATCATTCGTCCATCGACTACAATCGGTCACCTAAACGTCTCGTTCACAGCATCAATCAATTGAGCATCCTTCGAACAATCAATTTCCCTTGTCAACACTTGTCACAGGTTCTCGTCCCTTGGTTTCACTGCTCCAAGAAATCAAACCAATCATGATGTGTAGGTTGAAAGTCTTTATTGCGATCCATTCAACAATCGGGTAAATTCAGTACAAGTACAGTGCAAACTATCTGAGACTTAGCTTAGAGGCTTAGGCCAGGCCAACTATCAGGCCAACTATCAGGCCAACTATCAGGCCAACTATCAGGCCTACTATCAGGCCAGCCTCGGTGAGGCTGGCCTGTATCGGATACAGTGCAGTGGAAAGCCCTAGATGCACAACACTGGCCATCCTAAAAATTCCCCTATACATAAACGTGTAAAAGAACAATTATGTCCTCGTTAGTAAAACAACACTTCACACAACATTTCTGCTAATCCCATACAATCTTCACGTATAATCTTCAGTATAACCCCTTATTCCTGATTAGATCACTACTATACAAGTAATATCCCCAAAAGAAACATGATAATTGCACCAACATGATCAAAATATGTAATTTATGCCCATTTTCCTTCAGTTTGGTAATTGCTAAATCAACGATGCACCATATTGCTATAGCGCATGCTCGTACAACAGCAAATGCTTAACATTCGTCCAATACTAAAACCCTGATTTGTTACACTACGCAGAAAACCCGTAGACCAGCTACGAGACCAGCTGAACGCAGGCGCGGATCCAGGGGGGGGGCCGAGCGGGCCTTGGCCCCCCCCCCCCGCAAAAAAAAAAAAAAAAAAAAAAAGAGAGAAGAAGGAAAAGAAGGGAGAAAGGGAAAAAGGAGAAAAAGGGAAAGAAAGAAGAGGAAGAAGAAAAGTAAAGGGGGAAGAAGAAGGGGGGCCGAAAGGGCCTTGCCTCCCATGCTGTTAACCCCCCCCCCCCCCAATCAAAAAAAAAATAAGAGAGAAGGAAGGAAAGGGAAAGAAAAAAAAAGGAAAAGAGGAGATACTGGCGTACTGATAGAGGGGGGGGGGGGGCTTGGGGGAAATCAAATTCAAACGTGGTTTATTTCTGATTCCACAACGGTGTATTACAAATAATGCTGAAATGACATAATTTCCGAAATTTTTCCTCATTTTTTAGTAAATTATACGTTTGTATGTGTTTGTTGGAAAATAAAAAAATTCCTAAATTTACAACCAGGCAAAAAATATGATTCTTGAGATTCCTACATGTCAGGGCCCGAGGTACGGCGGGGAGCGAGAGCCTCGAGGCATCAAAATATGCTCATCTGACCGTGATTAAATGCCTAAAACCCCTAAGCTTCCGGGGGCTTTGCCCCCTGTATTCCATCTAGGGCCCTACGGCGGGCCCTTAGATGACCATCTGACGGTAATTTAATGCCTAAAACCCCTGATTTTTTGGGGCTCCGCCCCCTGGACCCCACGTCAAATAGTGACTTGCCAGTGTCACAAAATAATAAGGTATACACAAAAATATGCTCATCTGATCTTAATTAAACGCCTAAAACCCCTGAGCTTCCGGGGACGGCTCCGCCGCCTCGACCCCACCTCTTTGAAATTCGGACAAGGATTAAGAGTATAGAGAACGGTACAACGCATCGTTTTCTTTCTCTAATAATAAAACGTCAAAGCCTCGCGCAGGAGGAGAGGAGGGGGGGGGGGGGGACTGAATTGAGACGAGGATTAAGAGTCGAGAACTGTACAACGAATCGTCTTCTTTCTCTAATAATTTAATAAATCGTAAAATTTTCCGCGCTTCGCGCGGGAGGGGAAAAACTAAATTCAAACGAGAATTATTTTCGAGAACGGTACAACGAATCGTCTTCTTTCTTTAATAGTTTAATAAAACGTCAAAGCTTCCGCGCTTCGCGCAGGAGGGGGAGGGGGGGGGGGACTGAATTTAGACAAGAATGAAGAGTCCAGAACTGTACAACGAATCGTCTTCTTTCTCTAATAATTTAATAAGTCGTAAAATTTTCCGCGCTTCGCGCGGGAGGGGGAAAACTAAATTCAGACGAGAATTATTTTCGAGAACGGTACAACGAATCGTCTTCTTTCTCTAATAATATAATGAAACGTCAAAGCCTGGGAGGGGGAAACTCCCCCCCCCCCCCCGCTTTACGTCACTGTTGGTCACCATAACGTAACAATATTTGGCTCGCATAATTTCAAATTTGGGCCCCCCCCCCTAAGAAATCCTGGATCCGCGCCTGGAACGTACCTAGTTTCCCGGCACCGCGGCCTTCTAATTCACCGGAACGATGCAAGCATGCAACACTGAAGGCATGTGCCGCCGACCATGAATGAAGTGACGATATCACCTCCCCGCTGACACAAGCAGCGAGCCCCTTCAAGATGACACCCACGCGGCCCTAAAGTACTACCGTTTTCCCAGCATAAAAGAATCACCAGCTACGCTTCCACCGTCGCTTCGTCGCGCTGTAGCTCTGCGGAAATAAGCTCCTGGGCCCCCTCGTCAGGAAACCACCAGCAGAAGAAAATTTCACTCCTCTCAATACTCTTCGATGCTGAGCGGCCGACAAAAAAAAAAGTTAGTTCGAAGCCCAGGGGTTCTTGGACTCCGTCCTCGTGACAACCCCAACAGATCCACATATAACTAGTTGACGGATGTGAGCTAACAAAAATCTCTGCAGCTCTCCGCTGACGTCGCTAATATATCTTGAAGTTCAATGGTAATGGTTGAAGTGATAAACAAGTGTCTTACCCCATCCGTACTACCAATTGAAGCGATCCACGGCGAGACGGCCCGGTGGCCAAAACCGCCCCGCCTAGTACCGACTCAGAAAATGTTAAAGTATAGCTTTAGTTCTTGAAGTGTAGAAAACGAAGATAAATCAAAGTCACTGAAACAAATTCTTGATTGGAGTTGAAGATTTATTAAAATAAACGAAGAATTAATAAATCACGAAGTTCATGTTTTGGGGCTGGGCAACCCAATCGAAACAGATTAGCAACTCATGTCGATCGTAACGGAAGAGAGGTCCCGCTCCAGAGACGCAACTCGGTTTTTATCCCCCCGAACTGACACGCCTCGTCCTTCCAAAAATTGAGGCGTGTCACACAGACGCTTTGCGTAATATCAATCCACTTATAATTAGTTTCCGTATTAAAAGGTCCTATATTTCTTGGCGAATTTACCCCCTCGGATATAGGGCGCTCCGGATGATCCGCATCTCTATTCCTCACATACTTCTTTCACGCACCCACCTGTATCTCTTACATTCTAATCTCTCAAACAAGAGATGCAAATCACCCGGAGACCCAACAACCCTGGAATATAACAAGGGATAAATGTTGCTATGTCCGTCCACACTAGCGAGCCCACATGCTTCTGGCTATTACACACCTGTAATCCTCACTTCCCCTCTCATACTATTTCGATAGTGTGAACAGACCCGGCAACAAGGAAAAACCCTTCCAATTGTAATACAAATCTATTTCCTAAATTTGCCTAATTAAATTTAAGTCAACTGTGGCGACACGCCCAGCGACACCTAATCCAATCGGCCAAGCCGAAAAAGTAGAGCCAAAATTAAGAGCGCAACGTCTCGGAACAGGTGTTAAAAATAGCATACAAGGAATTCACCATGTATGTTTGTAAACATAGTTCTAGCGAAATCTACCAGGAATTTGCCTTGTACATGTACGTCAATGAACCTTTGAGGAAAACGTAAACACGAGAATATCCATATCATTACAATAATAATAATAATAATAATAATAATAATAATAATAATAATAATAATAATAAAAAGAAGAAGAAGAAGTAGAAGAAGAAGAAGAAGAAGATGAAGAAGGAGAACGTGAAGAAGAAAAAAAGAAGAAAAATAGGAAGAGAAAAGAGAAGAAAAATAAAGAAGAAGAAAGAAGAAGAAGGAGAAGAGGAGAAAAGAAGTAGGCGAAGACGATAAAACAAGAAAAAGAAGAAGAAAAAACAAAGGAAAAGAAAAAGAAGAAGAAGAAGAAGAATAGAAAAGATTTTTTAGGCTCTAAATCCACTTAAAATCAAGAGCTTTTTAGATTGGAACCAAATAAATATCAACCGATTAAACTGACCTGAGGTAATTTTCTGTTGCAATCCCGTCGCCATCGTTCTTGATACTTGGACCGCATTTTCCTCCTGGAATAAGTTCTGGATCTCCCTCTTTAAAATAATGCCGGTGATACAAGATATCGCTAACGCTATTAATATCGCAAGTTTCCGAGGTGCCATTTCAGTATTCTAGAGACTGTACGTGATAAAGAAGATAACACAATTGCACGTTTTCAAATTGTCAGACCCTCCGGTTCAGAAGACAGTAAACATCTGGGAATATATATTATTGTTGTAATGGCATGTTCAGCTCCAAATATGCTCGTTTAACGCGTAAACATGGTATAGGGGCATTAGACAGAATGTTAGTCTGCATATTACATAATGTTAAGTAATCCAATTCTTTGCATGGTGATACAGAAATAACAAAGCCCCTATTATCTTGTTTCCCGCACGATCGAAGGCAAGCTTCTGTCCTTTGATGCATGACTTCACCGTGTCTCCTGTCTGCAATTGTTTTCAGATATAAAAAAAAAAGAAGAAAGCTAGTCATTATATTGGTGCCATCAATTGTGAGTACCTAAGCATATCCTCCAAGGTTGCGTGTCCGTGCTTGTAAACCACATTTTATGCATGGTATCGTTCGAAAACGGATATGAATGAAGTAGGCCTAAATTAACACACGCGACCCCCCCCCCCCCCCCCCCCCCTCCCCCTCCCCCCCCAAAAAAAAACACGCGTTGATACATTTTTCAACCCAAATAACGGTTTTTAGAACACTACAGTCTATTGGAAGAATGAGTATGATAAAAATGGTCACTCAAAGACTATTACTTTTTTGAGGCACTCCATGATCATTTTGAAGCGCAATTTGTTAGGGCTTCAATATTACACCATATCACATACCACTGATAACACGTAGGGTCATGCATCTCTGTTGGCATCCCCCTTTTTCTTTCCCCTATTTTGTAGTTCCTTTTGTAGTTACAGATTAGTTAATTTAAGTACTTATTATTCCTAAGTATCATTTGAGGTGTTCACACTTGTACAAGCATTGCTTTTTAGTGGACCCCTCTGTTTCCAACATGTATTTCTTACATTTGTTTTAAATGCTTTTAATTGATTTGTAATGTTTTGTTGGAAACATGAATACATTTGAAATTGAGATTGAATTGGAATTAACATTGTTAAACGATGCCTCTAATATTAGTAAGGAGACTTACTGATCAAAACTCTTTAGCTAATTGTTTTACAATCTTTGCGTAATGGATATTACGTTCTTTAATTGCTAGAGCTGTCTTTATCCATGGTTCTTTCTCATTTTCTACTCTGTATGTGTGTTTTCTTTTCTCCCCAACGATTATTAGCAAACTCCACATTATATAGAGCAACGTTACTGTTCTCCCTGTCTTCTTAGTCCTTTCACCCATTATATACTTATTTCAAAATTCTGCATCGTCCACTATGCAACAACAACTTTTTTTTTTTATGTCTCAAGATGATTTTATTTAGGATGTGAACTGGAGCAACAAACGGGACGCTTTGGAATGTCTTAGGGGTTGATCCGATTATGTTAACAAACAGCTACCTCAGGGCGAACATTATCAGTGGACATATTAAGTTGGAAGCATGGGCGTAAATCTGCAATCGATACCTGTTGTTCAGGGGGGTGATCTATTCATTCATCCCCCCCCCCCTGAACAATAGGTATTACGTAAGGATTTACGCCCATGGTTAGAAGGTTTCGTGGAGTGTATGATGGACATCGCGAATTCGAACCAAAATCGATGATTACAAAGATTATTGTTCTCTCAATGGAAATCTATTGACAGTTCTAGAGGAGAGGGGGGGGGGGGAGCTTTTTTATATGCATGCAAATTCCAAGAGTCTGTAGTTTCTATTGTGAGACTGTTGATTGGGTGAAATGCATCACTCCTTAATAAGAGAAGAAAAGATGTAGCTTCGGAGAGTATTGGAATGTAAATAGATAACTCTTATTCTTAGTCAAATAATTGCTTTTTTTCAGGGCTGTTGCCAAGTCAAATTTCCTTATGTTTGAGAAGTATTTAAGCTTAGAACTACATGCGTCTCAAGAATGTTATCTTTTTGTTTAATATTTTTTTTTATATGCATGCAAATTCCAAGGGTCTGTAGTTTTTATTGTGAGACTGTTGGTTAGGTGAAATGTATCACTCTTTAATAAGAAAAGAAAAGAGGTAGTTTCGGAGAGTATTGGAATGTAAATGGATAACTCTTATTCTTAGTCAAATTTAATTGCTTTTTTTTTCAGGGCTGTTGCCAAGTCAAACGTCCTTAAGTTTGAGAAGTATTTAAGTTTAGAACTACATGCGTCTTAAGAATGTTATCTTTTTGTTTATCTGTGAAATTTAATATTCTTAGAACACGTCCATCAATTGGTGAAATTGAAATTCCATTTGCTTCAAAAGCCTCAAAGGAATAGATTGTCAAGCATTTTTTTTTCTGTGTGACTAAGAAAGATGAAAATAAACAGAGTAAAAAGGGCGCATAGTAGAGGGTTATGCGGATAATTCTTATCCTAAATCCAAATTTAAATACATTGGTTGTTCCCAGGTGTACTTATCTATTATGTCAGGAGAAGCAATACACTTATTAGCATACTGGAAATGCTTTTGTTCTCTCAATGGAAAATCTATTTGACAGTTCAAGAGGAGAGGAAAAAAAAAAAGAAAAAAAAAAAAACTTTTTTATATGCATGCAAATTCCAAGAGTCTGTAGTTTCTATTGTGAGACTGTTGATTGGGCGAAATGCATCACTCCTTAATAAGAGAAGAAAAGATGTAGCTTCGGAGAGTATTGGAATGTAAATGGATAACTCTTATTCTTAGTCAAATAATTGCTTCATTTTTTTTTCAGGGCTGTTGCCAAGTCAAATTTCCTTATGTTTGAGAAGTATTTAAGCTTAGAACTACATGCGTCTCAAGAATGTCATCTTTTTGTTTAAAAAAAACTTTTTTATATGCATGCAAATTCCAAGGGTCTGTAGTTATTATTGTGAGACTGTTGGTTAGGTGAAATGTATCACTCTTTAATAAGAAAAGAAAAGAAGTAGTTTCGGAGAGTATTGGAATGTAAATGAATAACTCTTATTCTTAGTCAAATTTAATTGCTTTTTTTTTCAGGGCTGTTGCCAAGTCAAATGTCCTTAAGTTTGAGAAGTATTTAAGCTTAGAACTACATGCGTCTTAAGAATGTTATCTTTTTGTTTATCTGTGAAATTTAATATTCTTAGAACACGTCCATTAATTGGTGAAATTGAAATTCCAGTTGCTTCAAAAGCCTCAAAGGAATAGATTGTCAAGCATTTCTTTTCTGTGTGACTAAGAAAGATGAAAATAAACAGGGCAGCGTTTCTCGAGGCCGTCATAGCTGCGGGTTCGCCGGCGTCCCATTGAGACGCGTGTTAAACTTAATACACGCGTTTCAGTGGGATGTCGGTGGACTTGTGGTTGTGACGGTTTCGAGAAGCGCTGGCCAGAGTGAAAAGGGCCCATAGTAGAAGGTTATGCGGATAATTCTTATCCTAAATTCAAATTTAAATACATTGGTTGTTCCCAGGTGTACTTATCTATTATGTCAGGAGAAGCAATACACTTATTAGCATACTGGAAATGCTTTTGTTCTCTCAATGGAAAATCTATTTGACAGTTCTAGAGGAGAGGAAAAAAAAAAAATGATATGCATGCAAATTCCAAGAGTCTGTAGTTTCTATTGTGAGACTGTTGATTGGGTGAAATGCATCACTCCTTAATAAGAAAAGAAAAGATGTAGCTTCGGAGAGTATTGGAATGTAAATGGATAACTCTTATTCTTAGTCAAATTTAATTGCTTTTTTTTTTCTCAGGGCTGTTGCCAAGTCAAATGTCCTTATGTTTGAGAAGTATTTAAGCTTGGAACTACATGCGTCTTAAGAATGTTATCTTTTTGTTTATCTGTGAAATTTAATATTCTTGGAACACGTCCATCAATTGGTGAAATTGAAATTTCAGTTGCTTCAAAAGCCTCAAAGGAATAGATTGTCAAGCATTTCTTTTCTGTGTGACTAAGAAAGATGAAAATAAACACAGTGATAAGGGCGCATAGTAGAAGGTTATGCGGATAATTCTTATCCTAAATCCAAATTTAAATACATTGGCTGTTCCCAGGTGTACTTACCAGCTGCATGTTTTTCATGTTGGTATTTACTTGGTAGTTAAGCTATTATATGGGAAGATACTGGTTTACAACCCTGTGATTATTAAGGATGTTCCCTTTTTATATGTTGATTATTGAAATGTAATTTACTCCTGAATACTTAATCAATTTGTGATTAATAGATTCAAGAGCCTTCAAAGATTGTCGTACATGACATGTTTTTTTTTTTTATAATTGCAAGGAAGCATTTATTTTGTGTATTCTGTAAGTCAGGCTATTATAGCACCTTCAATGTGGAGAGGGTACATAATCCTTTATAGCCTTATTTTCGGGAATGTTACCTTTAAATAGAAATTTTTAGAGTGGGAGGGGTGGGGCGGGGGAGCTGCAATATTGCATGCCTTACATGTATCAGTTTCTTTCCCAGATGACGGGGTTTCGTTCTTGCCTTTCGTGGGGTCCTTTAAGGTGGGGGATTGGCTCTGGGACTGGGTTAAATTTTCTTGTGCGTGATAGGTTATGGATGTTCTGATTAATTGTAAATTGTTCTCCCTCAACGTGAAAGGGATCAGGGACAGAGATAAAAGGGAACGCATATTTTTCTGGTGTAAAGATAAAGGGGCGGACATTGTTTTCCTACAAGAAACATTTAGTACTAGCGATTGTGAGGACAAGTGGGCTTCAATGTGGGAGGGTTCCAGTTATTTTAGTCATGGTTCTAATCACAGTAAAGGAGTTCTCGTTTTGACTGCGCCGAGGATAGATATTGAGATATTGCAAGTCTTATAAGACAGTGAGGGTAGATATATCTTTATAGACTGTAAGTTTCAAGGTGTTAGGTTGATTTTAGGCAATGTGTATTTTCCAACAAAAAATTTTGAGAGTGATCAATTGCTATTTCTTCGAAAATTACGTAATAATCTGGCTAAGTTAAATAAAGATAACTACCCGGTTATAATAGGTGGTAATTTTAACATGATTAGGGACATTGAATTTGATTATAACGGGAAATCTTCAAACAGGATTTCGAAAAGATTTAATCGAGAATTTGAAAAATTCATGGAAGATTTGCAGCTTTTGGATATTTGGAGATGTAGGCATTCTTTAAAAAGGCAATTTACTTATATGCAAAACAATCCCTTTATGCAAAGTAGATTAGATTACTGGATAATATCGGAATGTCTAGAGGAAATGGTTATGAAGTGCAATATAATTCCATCTGTTGCCCCTGATCATCATTCAATATTTTTACGTTTATTTGACAAAACAGTCAATAAAACGAATGGAAGAAACAGGTCA